TCCCCTTCCCCCCCCCGGGTTTTGCTCCTCTCTCTCTTGTTGTTTTACTTTCCATTACCATTTTTTTCATTACTATTTTATTTCAAGTATTAAACTGTTCTTATTTCAACCCATGAGTTTTCTTACTTTCGCTCCTCCAATTCTCTCCCCCATCCCATCGGGGGTGGGTGAGGGGGGGGTGAGCAAGTAGCTGTGTGGCGCGTAGTTGCTGACTGGGGTTAAACCACAACACCTTTGCCTCGCAGACACACTGTCCCCACTACCCGACCCCGAACTGGGAGCTGGTGGGACATCCAGAACTGAGCCTCGGAGAGGCACGAAGGTCACCCAAGCCCTGCGATCCAGTTACCACCTTGGAGCTGGCAGCTGCCGGCTACAAATACACGCACGCTGCACCGAGACACTCTGAGGGGCCAAGAGCAGGGGACTGGGGTGTCCGTGGGTGACCAGACAGACCCCAAAGGTGCATTGCAGAGATGCCCCTGGCATCCTCAGGAAAGGCTGTGCAGACACTGCTCAGGGGTTCATCTGTGCACACCTCGGGCATTAGGGACCACACCAGAGGCTTTGGTTTATGCAACGGGCAGCCTGAACCACTACGGCTGTCCCTGCATGACTTGGTGCAGCACCATCCTGGAAAACCTCAGCCAGCAGCCCCAGCCCACCGCTCCTGATGGTGGGAGGCTCTGTGCATCCCCTCGGGCACGGCTTGTGTTTCCCCGTCCTGCACCCACTGTGTGCTCAGTCCTCCCTGCCCGTGTTTGCTGCAGCAGGTGACAGGCCGAGCTCCCGCAGGCTCCTCTCCAGGATGAGTCCAGTAATTTCTCCCCAAAGATGACCCATTGCAACTTGAGCACCCCAAGAAGTGCCCCCAGTTCCTCAGCAGTGAGCCCGGGCAGCCCCGGGAGCCCAGCGTGGGTGGGTCCGGTGGGGGCTGCCCACCCACCCAGCACGCGTGGGGGGAGCGCCCGGAGCCGCACTGATGAAAGCAGACAGGCACA